CATTCCGACACACTCCTGACTTTGATGTTGGAATTACTGGTGGAGTTAGAGGGACCATATGAGAATTCTGATTCCCCGCTGAGGTGGCTGCGCCATCCAAGCGCGGTCCGTCGGCCTTCATTCTGGCATCTTTAATTGAAACTGAGCTCAACCTCCCCTTGAGGGAGGATCTTACTTGCTTCCTTTAGCTCAGGCTCGTGGGAGATACGAAAGGCCAAGTGGACGGAAACATATTATTACTATTTTTTAGATTTTACTACAGGTACATGTACGGCCCGTAACGCAGAGAACATGTCGATCGAAGAAGAGCTTTGGCATGTTTTCACGCATTACACGTTAATGTCCGATCCGACTACGCCTGCAGGCTTGACTGCTCAGCAGTTTCTCAAGCTAGCGAAAGAGGTGCAACTTGTGGTTGCGTCCAAGGGTCTGGCGGAGGCACAGATTTTGGTATCTGCGCAAGTGTCACCCAGGGAGATCTTTCCGCGTGCCGGTCGGAGGGGCATGAAGCTGTCCTTCAGCGACTTTGTGCAAGTTATGTCGCGACTGGCGTCGAGATGCCATCCCAACACTGATCCAGCATTTGCTTTCCAGAAAGTTCTGCTTGAGAATGTCCTGCCTCTCGCGCAGCGACGAGTCGTGCTGCCCGTAGATAGTATGCTGGCAGAGGCGGACGTAGATGACCTCTTGCGTCGTCACTTTTGCAAGGGGTTAGACCAAATCTTTGACTGGTACGCCAAGGTTGCGGACCACACAAGACGCATTGCAATTGACATGACGTGTCAGAATGCGTATGCATCAAATCGTCGACCAGTGAATCATCACACCGGAAGGATCGGTTATGCGGAGTTCCTCGAGTTCTGTGCAACCTGTAGGATCTTTGAAGGACCAGGATCGAAGGCTAATGCTCTGCTCTCAGTACGAAGCGTAGGCGATGTGTATCTCGCATCGACCCGAACTCGAAACGCATATTCCTCAGGTTTTGCGCCCCCGTGTGTCCAAGATATGACTCGTGGTGATTTCAACGAAGCTCTCCTCCGCCTCGCCTGTCGAGCATACGATGGTCCAGCATACAGGAAATTATCTGCAGGAAGCAAACTTCGTGCGCTTTTCCTTTATCTCTGGCGTGCCATGACTGCTCCCATTTCAATCGGATCTATATGCATCGATGCAACCAGCATCAGCATCCAGGCTGACAGTAGCGTCGTGGCAGACTTCAACGCTGCATTCCTTCAGATGTGGCAGCAGGACGGCTTTGTCGACTACACAACGGATGAAACAGCCATTGATGAGGATGGCGTGGTTATGTTGGAACGCATAATTAACCGTGCTGCTGATCTGACCCCCGCACAATTTTCGCGCTTCGTTGATGATGGCGCTGCACGCGCAGCTATCCATGCTCACCTCGGCAGGCATGTATCATCGACGCCATCAAGCGACGTACTCTCAATTCACAAGGCCCGGGACGAGCTCCGGATTTCGGACATCAAGTGCTTGCTCAAGAATCGCCAGGACATTGCTGATCTTGTCAACTATCAAATTATCGACTGTGGTTTCAAATAGCAGGCAAATAAGGATTTTACACAAATAAAGATAAATTGCACATTTGACCAGCACCAGTATTCTCTCAAACTCACCCACATTATACTTGTCTTCTTATCATTTCACCGAATCGAAATAAAGTACAGGCCTGGCGAGTAGCCGCAAAAGATCATCACAGGTTGCGGCTTCGTCGCCTCGAATCTCCAGAAACTGACGCGCCAAGGCGCATGGGGTGTGCACTCGCCCTTAAACGCGGGCTCCATTCACGAGGGAACTTCAAAATCCCAAAGGGACGACGCATAGGAACTCCGAGTTGGCGCAACTTCCCCGAAGGCGCGCCAAGCCCGTGCACGAGGAAAGCGAATCTATGCGCATCTATGCAGGACCCGACAGACTTTTAATTGCAGCAGGGCTCGGCTAGCTTTGCTAACAACTGTTCGGCACATTCGATGGCGAGTGCTTCTCGAGTCTTAATACTTACTTATTTACTTACTTACTTACTTACTTACTTACTTACTTACTTACTTACTTACTTACTTACTTACTTACTTACCTACCTACTTACTGGTGCTGAATAGTCATTGTGCGCCTGGAGCGCACCCAGGAGAATCTCCTGCTATCCAGTCAGCCTTTTTCTTTTCCTGGGGGGTCCTAGACGAGGCTAGTTCCTTAGCTGGATGAAGCCCATGTTGAAGGCACAACCAGCTCCTAATCCAACTATATCATTCTTCACCCAAGCAAATTTCGGCGCGACGGTTTACACGAAATATGGCTGAGAAAACTAAATGCGAAATTAAATGCGAACTAGACCTAGAACACTTCGTGATGGAAACGCGAGCGCAGGAGCTGCATCGTGGAGCGCAGGAGCTGCATCGTGAGGCTCGTAGGCAGGCGAGGCAGCGTGCTTTTCTTCGCGAGGAACGCAGGAGAGTCAGGGAGGACACGAACTCAATAGAGATTGATGCCGTTCTGCAGAAGCATATGAATGAGCGAGATTGGTACCCGGAAGAGTACCTTGCTGGCAGCTCAGGATCGAGGCTTCGGCTGAATGTAGGCGGTCAAGTTTTCGAGGTGGGTCAGCAGTTTCTTAAGGGGGACCGCGATTCATTATTGGTAGCGTTGGGCGCCGAGGATTGTCCATTACTGTCACGCGGGCGCCGAGGATTGTCCATTACTGTCACGCGATGTTGCATCTCCCTTGATTGCATACGTCGACCGGGATTGGTGGATGTTCCGACATGTCCTGACGTTCCTGCGTGATGGCATCCTCCCGCGAAGTCGCTGTTTGGTGCTGCGGCTTTACAAGGAGGCTGCATTTTGGCGGCTCCAGACCTTGAAGGGCGCCATAGAAGAGACCCATCTAAATTTGACGAGGTCTGGAATTATCGTCAGCAAAAATGTAGACTCCAAGACTCATGATGACCTCGTTGAAATCCCCAAATCCACCAAATTCTGGCTCAAAAGGCCAAACTGGTGGGAGTCACAAGCGGGGACGGGGGTGAACAAGACCGGGTGCCGCATCAAGGCTATACCCAGCTGGTGGAAAGACGATGACACTTGGAAGGGGGTGAGATTTGGCCCGCTTTCGCTACACCCTGAAAAGGTTGTTGCCTCGAAGAGTGACGTCAAATCCGATAGCTACGTTTATCCTATGCTATCGAGCACTTGGGGATACTGCTCTTGAAATTGAAGGGCATTGTGGGATATTGTGGAATATGCTGCTCAAAAAATTGTAGGGTGGCAAATATAGGCCAAGCCGGAGGTGACCAGCCTTCCATCTCCCCGGTGATCTATAGCACGATGCCTTCGCAAAACATGAAGATGCGGCTTGCCGTGCTGAAAGCAACAGTGAGTAGGTGCATCCGGATATCGGGCGAGGGCGAAAGCGAGATAGCAAACTGGGGGAGAATGCGGCCTGCCAGTGGGTTTGGTTGGGCAAGGCAGAAAGCTACATTTGCGGCAGTACTATTTGTTTCCAGCGACGAATTAGTGGGTTTAGGCCACATATCACCATGCAGCCCAAATAGAGCTGCTGGTTGTGGTGGTCCTTGTAAAGAACCTAAGTCCCCCCTGTGTGTAGCTTGCACCTGTTCGCAGGCTCTGTGGGCACTTCGGGGTGCCTGCCAAATGGCTAGCCACAAGGACGAAAACAACCACAGGGCTGGCCGCGGCCATAGAAGTATTTGTTTATTATTCCTGGCCGCCGGTCGTAGTATGTCATAGAGGTGCTCCGTCGACCGTGCGCGCGTGGTCGACTCGGGCCACTGGACTGAAATCGAGGCAAAATTAGCGGAGACGACGGCGACGGCGGTCTGGCGGGCGACGGCCAGTGGGATGACGGCGAGAAGATGCGCTTTCTCAGTGACGTGGGTGGCGATGTGGCGTCGGCGACGGCCTCTTCGGAGGGTCACATGTCTCTTGTTTCACTATCCAGTTAAGGGGATGAATTTCACTCCGACACAGTTTAGCTTGTGCATTCCATGTCCAGACTTTGCTAAGATTTCGAAGTCACCTATAAAAGAACAGCTGGAAAACCGTAAGTTAGTAAAGCTACGTTGGGAGAAATGGAAAAAGGCAAATAGACCCGGAAAGGTCAATGACTTTGTCTTTAATACTGCTGGTAAGGAACCTGAAGCAGCAGGGGCTGAAACTAGCTCGGAACCAGGGAATCAGGAGTTGGACGCATCACCAGGGGGTCTAGCAAAATTTAGGAGAACGCGCCTTAAGGCGCTCCCAAACCAGAAACAGAAAAAGAGAAAAATAAAAACAAAAATAATCAGAATAATATGGGTGAGGTTATGCCTCAGCCCTCATCTTAGGTTCTAAGGGGGTTTAATACGAAGTCAGAGTTGCGCTATGGTTTCGGAGGTCCCGTTTTCTGATGATCGGGCTACGATTTAATCTAAGAGCGACCTGCGCGGTCCCCGTACTGCCAGATGGCGCATGATTTAATATGCCATCATCGTGTTTTTGGACCAACCATGGCCATTGAAAAACAGAATCATGCAGTCAAGGTATCTTCTGCGACCACGGTTTTCTGGGCGTCCGATGCAGCGGTTCCAGGACTTGGCGCGTCGGTCTGTGGACCATGCCGCGCCTCGGGCCCGACTGCGAGTCGCTCGGGAAAGACCACCGGTCGATGGCGAGCAACTTGGTTCGCGTCGGGGCAGCCCGTGGATGACGAGAACGGCCGTTAACGATGGTGGGCGACCGACGAGGGGCCCAACTTAGTTCCAGAGGTCGAGCGGTGCGCTAGACCCTGGGTAAGCCACCCCTGGAATGTTTTCCCGGAGGTCTCTGCTTAGCACTGGCGCACCGAACGT